CAACTATTAGCGCTATAAAGAATATACACACTTCGCAGCTCCTTACAGATCTTCCGTCGTGAGCCACACCCAGCGGGCCAACAGCAGAAACGGTACAAGGAAGGTCTATCCTTGTTTGGTAAGTCACAACCTCTATACGTACTTCCAACCATATAGAGAGGCTGTCAGGTATTACATTTTCCTCACACACACGCATATTAGGGTATCATGACAGGAACCATATTCGCCTCTTTTCCGGCATTTTTATTTTCTTCGCATTGTACCCTTATAGTTGAATGTTAGGCAGGCCTCCGTTATCTTCTCACGTACAGATGTATTCGGATGTATTTGCAGGTATAATGAACCGCACAAAGTCAACTCTCGGTGCCAAGAAGTTGAGGTACTTCGGTTGTACCGTAACTTAGAAGTAGTCTATTGGCTTAGAGCTTGTCTTGTCCATGTGTTGTCTTGATTATCTGGGTCATATCGGTTTAGTAAATGTCCCATCCATGTGTAGTTCTGGATACCTCCGCCTTCAAGGCTCTTAAACCTTACAGAGCAAGTGTATTATTTTGGTGTGCGTATGTTGAATGCGATATAATTGCGTGGATTAATTATTTAATATTTGAGTAATTGTGAGTCTGCATACCGGATAGGGAAATGTTATTGTATGCTCGTGTATTTGAGAAACCAGCTTCCTTTGTGTCCGTTCGCATGTGTTGGCAGACTGGCATGTAAGAATGTACTGGATCATAGCTAGGACAAGTTTATAACATAAATATTATCAATATGCAATATGCATGGTTTTCTTGACATCTGATTGTTTTACTCGGCTCATATCTAGACTCGGTTTTTTGAATTTTAAATCTGTGTACAAATGTCCCCATATTCTCTCTTTTGTGTCATGCACAGTATATGCGGGACGATTTTATCAACAACCGATGACTTTGTTTGTGAACCAGTCTATGCGGTTATATATAGTAACGTTTGACTCGTAGAAGGGTTACAAAACTACTACTTCATTTCATCATGAGAATCATGAGGTGATTGACGGTGGGAAAGAATCAATTTTACCTTCTCCTTAGATTTTCTCAGAGCTCGCTGAAGCACCCGAGAAGACCATCAGCACTCCTGACAACGTCCTAGAAACGATCTAAATTTTCCTTCGCACACTTACTTTCATGGCGTGCACCTTCGCATTTAATACACAGAGAGTGGTTCAGAAGTCCTAGCCGTGACCGGAAACTTATCACGCAGCGGCAAGACATAATTGAATTCCTTCTCAAGCCGCGAAACAGTGACCTATTCGCGCGACTGACTCAGTGCATCAAGGCCTCCAAGAACCTCCCGGTGTGTAGGTACCGAACGTTACTGTGGCTGAAGTGAGCTGTACCTGCAGTTCTGGGCGGCTGGGCGGTGTATAAGTGACTTTCATGCGTATGTGGTGTGGTGCTGAGAATTCTAGTCTGAGTGAATAAACTTCAATCTCCTTATCGTATACTTAATCAAACTTAGTATTGGTCAAAAACATGCTATTTTCTATCGCTCTCCGGACAGATACTTGCCATTCTATTTCAAATACAATCCAAACACCTTGTTCCATGACGAATTCTGCTTTAATAGAGTTAAATGCGTCAGACGTACATACAAACCAACGTGCATACTAGCACCTGTTGTCGGCCAGCATTGTATCGTTGGGTGTATTGGGCCAAGTGCGCTACATTGCACCTGCAACACTTGTGTGCTTAACAGTTGTGTGTGCGTTGCAGACCATTGTTTGCGCCACCGCCTCCTCTCGTGGATCAGCTATCCCTCCCCTGTGGAACAGGAGTACTCACTTCACATGTCTGCCCACAATAGCATCCAAAGTCACTTCCAAATTGATTCTAAACCCGAATTCTTGGCCAAGATTATCGTACCCACTCCAATTTATCAGCTACTACGCCATATAATATCATGAGCGCTGGTAACTTCATTTTGATTCACTGCATCCTCATCTTCGTCGAAGATCACCTCTATTTATTTTGAATCCTATATCTCCATAAAATTCGTGCAGACCTTAACTTAAGAGTTATCTTCCGATAAACTAGAGCCATACCGCCACTTTCTTCACTTTTTAACTAACAATCATCTACTTCATCATACTGAATCGAGCCCCGAATCTGTTAGTCTGATATAGTGCAACCCCTGATCCTCCCCCCCGCCCCNCNCNCNCNCNCNCNCACACNCACAC